AGAAAGCGTGATGCCGCCGCAAAAGTATGAAAACGTAAAAAACGTAGAAAACGAAATAGAAGCTGAAGCGTAAAACTAAATTTAAAAGAAGCTAGGAAGATGAATTTGGGGCAAAGTGCAGTAAATTGAATTGCAGGAACCTAAATACATCAATGGAGATGTTCAAAACAAAATAACAAAAATCAGAGTTGAAACTAATGGCGGCATAGAGCTAAAGACTAAATTAGGAAAGTTGTTTTGAGGAAACTGGATCTAAACTAAGACATTACTTGTAAAATTAAAATGTAGATAGCGCTGGGCTAATTGTGTGAGAGGCTGGTCTTCTTCGCTTCATTTCTTCTTTGCATCTTTATAGCAGTAAACACCCTTTGCAGCATGCTTGGAAATCTGTGGCAGCAACTTGACAATCAACGGCAGCATGAAATCTGAAACAAACTGATTATTCTGTTGATTCTGCCAATTATTTTCCTGGAAGTTCGCAATAAACCAATAATCTTGCTGCAGTTGTGGAAATAACCACTCAACATTATCCAGAGAGATTTACTCCAACAACTTTCAACTAATGAAATATCTGCCAACATGGATGACACGTGGCATCATTATACTATTTTGCAAAAATGGGTGTAAACACAAACCCTACTTGTGTATAGGGATAACTCTATAAACACCTCGAGAAAAAAATTAACTCCAATCCAAGCTTTTCAAATTATATAAATCTTAATTTAAAAGACTTAAAATTTTGTTAAATAAGTAATAAGTTTACATCTAACTCATTTTAACCCAATCTAAAAGTTAAGACACGACACAAACCCTACTTGTGTATAGGGATGACCCTATAAACATCTCGGGAAAGAAATTAACTCCAATCCAAGATTTCCTAGATCACCATAAAATTAGATTTCTGTTTCATAATTCTTAGGTTTCACACGTACATAATATTGTAACTATATTATTCTCATTTTTTTAACTTGCTATTATTAATGTGGCAATTTCATGTGAACTTGCATGCCAACTAGTTAACTGAAAAATAACATGCAGTGACATAAATTCAATAATTTCAGCGAAAATCTTTAATTTGAAAATTTGATTGGTGGCTTTGCCACTATTTCTTTTTTTGACAGGAATATTAGCTCTAACTGGACAATTTCATGGGTGATTTTGCATCATTGATCTTATTATAATGGCCTGATTGTTGGGATATTTTACATGGGGTACACGCGTGACAATGAACCATGCTCAAGAGAACATCTGTGCTGGTCCAATGGCCTAGTTGGGGACTTCATCTCACCGAGAATTTTGTTACTTCTGATTACTGTCACAAATCTGCTGCCATGCATTGTATTGCTGATGCCAATCCCAAACCTCCTTGGTGTACGGATATTTTTAGTAATTGAACTTCTTTATTTGCAAAAAAATAAAAATAAAAATAAAATACACATGCTTCGCTGAAATATATCCAGTAGGACCAGTACATCTTTCATAGGATCATCGTTTGATAATGATATTGACAGCAATTTTAGTTCAACAATCCTTCTGTTAGCGTGACAATACAGAGCACAGAGAAAGGACGCAACATATATCAAATTGCCATGAAATACATCCTGTGATCACTAACACTTAGAGACTTTGTCCAAAGCATCAAAAACACTTTGTAGCACTACCTCCTCCACAATCACCACCTTGTCTCGAGATTTAGAACCAGCGCCTATAGACACCTGCCTTCTTTTCACGCCTAGAACCTGTCATTCCAAAGGAATGGATACCATGAATTTCACAGTACTAAAAACTGCGTAACAAGCAAGCAATCTAAGCAGCTAAGTGGTAATTTCCGTCCAATAGAAGTAATAGGTCTTAAGTTCAAATCGCATAACATGTAGGTGGAGTGAGGGTAGGTTAAGGGATGAGAAAAAGTTGCCTCTCATTGTGCAACCCAAGATTAAAAAAAAAAATTGTGTGACAAAATTGGAGAGGAAAATTTTAAGCAATATAACTGTTGGAACAGTGACATCAAAGCTGTGATGTTGCTGCCACAAAACAGCAAAATGGTGTAGCAAGAAGGCTGTGTTTATGAGACAAAGGGTGCAGCAACAAAGCTGCTTCAATGGAGGAAAGTGAAGTATGGTAAACTGAGCTGCATTAAGCAAGAAAATGAAATGAAATACAATTATGCAAATGCAAATGCAAATGTGAGATGCAAATGAAGTTCAAATGGAGGATGTAAATTAGTCAACAAAAGTGCAGCAATGTGATAGTGTTTCAATGTACTTTTTGTCTTAGTTTTATGTATTACAATCTTTGATTTAAATGTTACAATAGATTTTCTAGGAAACATGCACCATAAATCATGAAAAGTAGGTCAAGAATACTGTTCTTATGTTGAATTTTCTGCTATAAATGGGCAGATATGTTAATGGAGATCAGAGAGTTGGAGAGCAACTTCTCCTCCCCTCCTGGTTGGTTGAATGTCTGCACCCTTCCATGTTTATGTTCTATATCATGTTCTAGGTTCTAGTCTTCTACTACTCTACTCCAAGTCCTCTCTCTACCCCTTTCCATCAAAATTCCACAATAACTACTCCAAGAAGAAAACTGTGCAAGTGAAATGTTTTTTCTATGATAATAAATTAATTGAACATATGAGAGATCCTTCAAGACTTAGTGCTGGTCAAGAATTATCATTTCAACTAAGCTCAAATTTTAATCAGGAAACAATGACAAATTCATATCTTCAAGACCTTTAGCCCTAAAGTTGAATGACTGCTCATATACCTCTAAACCCTATTGAATAGTCTAGTCTAGTCAGAAACCTTACTGACCATCATAATTTTTCAAGGCTCTTGAGTTATAGCAACAAGGCAAGAAAATCAGAATTGCAGATGGTAGAAACCATTCCATTAATATGGATGCATTTAAAAACTAGAAGCAGGGATAATTTGATAAACTAGTAACTCTGATATAATGTCAAGATTATGCAATCTAAATTATCAAATCAAGTTCTAGGGCAGTTACTAATATTTAAGAGAAATCCAAAATCAAGCATTTCACAAGGAGGCTGCAAATACTTTGAGATGCGGTCTGGCACCTATAAACAAGTTCAAACAACCTAAATCAAACCAACTTTTCCCAGTTTCTTACTACCTATATGATGCAACCAGTATGACCCCAATTGATCACAAGTTGCACCATCTTTACCTCTAAAAGAAGAGGATAATTGATCCTTCAATATACCCAATTTCTAGCAGGATAATATCAAATTCTAAAGTAATTGAACACAATTTCAAGCAGATAAGCACAATTTTCATCTAATTCTTTTACTGTTTGCTATTCAAAAGAAAAATTCACCCCTAAAAAAAAAAAAGAATTGCTATAAATATGAGAAAAAGTACTAACAGAGCTTATATAATCAAGAAGTGCAGCGTTGGCTTCCCCGTCCTTGGCCGGTGCGTCTATCTGCACCCCTAAGGCCTCGTCACCGAAATCTGCAATACGCAAGAGGAAATTCATAAAAAGGAGCAACCTTGAACGATGAAACGCAGATGATGCAAAGTTCGTAAACCTGTGATGGAGGAGGATTTGGCGCCGGGCTTGGCGTGGATTGTTATGGCGACGGAAGAGGGAGGGACCAAGCGCAAACACGAGGGGAATTTTGTGTCGCTTTTGGAGTGAGTTGAGTCGGGCAAATTGACCTTCGCTTTGCCCTTCTTCGCCGGAGCCATTTCCGTGGATCTCCGACGATTTTTATTACACCTCTGAAATCTGTATGGTATATACAGCAAAAGAGAAGGGGATCGGCTGGGTCGGTTCCGGTTTCTACAAAGCCATCGTATCTTGGAGTCGTTTGGTTTGGAAAGCTTTCCTTGAAACAAGTTTTGGCTTCGGAAAGGTAAGAAAACGGTATTTTTCAAGTTTATTCAGTAGCCCTGGGAAATTGCCCTAACCCGAAGATCCGGTGCGAATGCGATTTATTCGTTAAGGGTTAGGTCTTAAGCGCAACAAGGTACGGAGTCAGAATCTAACCTAATTTGAACCGAAACTGTTCGAATTTAGAGGAAACGTGTAAATCAGAATATTAGTTCTATATTTTTTATTTAAATATATTAGTTTTATTAAATTTTAAATAAAATATTAATTTTTTATGTTTTTAAAAAAATTAATATTTAATTTTTTATTCAAAAATTAATTAAATAGTGATATTGACATAATAAATAAATATTTTAAT